TCCTGAGCATGACTGTTGCTGCTGCTTTATTTTAAATGTAGCTTTCCAGTTAGGGTGGGTCATGTTTTGCTTCTTTTCCTGTAGCAGTTGAACCTTCACATTCATATTTTTTACCTTAATTACCAGCACACTCAGAAATCCTGAAATTCTGAGCCCAGGGGACTCCTTTCTAGAAGCTTCTATGTGAAATACTCTAGTTTTTGGACTTTGTATTCTCATTGATTCCAAATGCATCTTACTGCTCTTTCCTATAAAATGCAGTTTAATCCTTAAAACCCTTTTTTTTTTCTGACTGTTCTTTTCCACCCCACAGTGCACTGGCTTCTACAGTTGAAATCCTGAGGCAGAAGTATGGCTTGGAGCCAGAATCACCGTGACACTTCAGGCTCTGAGGAGGCCCTGCAGGGCTGGTGGAGCTGGGCACCATGTGCCTGTGCATTCAGGAAATGGGCGTTCGTGGCCTTGTTTAATAAGGTCGATGGGTTATGTCAAGGTTAATAAACAAAAGATTCTAAAAAGATTTAAAAACCAGAGCAACAGTTGATGGGTATCTGTTAATGAGCATCGCATCTGCTGTAGTCTGAGGAACCAACTCCAATACCTGTGCTGACCTCTGTGTGCTGTTGACCCATTCCCAGAGAGCTGTCTCATTAACATGATTAGGCCTTTGAAATACAGTAATTTGCATGTCAGGCTATCCTCAGATAGTATCAGATCCTCTGTGTTTGTTTATTGTGTCTGCACTGAAGGAAAAGCGCGGATGGAAAAGAGGTGCTGTTACAGCTTCGGTGTCGTCTGCCTGTTTTTCTCTGTTCTAATTACAATCACAGCCTACTACCAAGATGAAACTGTAAATGCCTGTGTAAATTAACAGTATGCACGAGGTCCCTGTCTAGGCAAGAGCTGCTCAGGAAGACCTGGCTTCCTCCTAATAGAATGGGTGTAAACAAGCTGTTAGCCTGCTGAGCTTCATTTTTGAAGTGTGGACTTCCCTCTCTTGGTTTGGTTCTGAAAACAGTGCTGAGCTGAAGTAAATAGAGAATGGGTGAAAGTTTCCTCTGGTATTTATTCTTCAGTGGAAAGTAAAGTTTATGGAGCTGCTATTAAATTAAAAACTGGTAAGCAACTTGTATGATTTTATTATAGATGCTTATTTTTAGACGTTATTGTCCATCACATTTGGTGGACTTAGGTGCTTAGCGAGAACGTGTATGGAGTCATCATAAATAGAACCTTGTTTCACATCCAGAGCTGCCACTTCTCATTTTATTGATATAGGCAAGTATAAATTAATCTTATGGCTAAATTAGAAGGATCCAAACATGGCTAAAATCACGAAAAAGGGCAAGCTGCTGGGAGCTGAACGTCTTTCAAAGCACAAATTAGTGGTGTTTTCAGTTGCATTTTTATTGCAAATATTTTTTCTCCTTGGTTCTAAAGGGTGTAAAGTAAGTTCAGATCTAAATTTTCAAGGCATGGAACACTAAACAATTGGTTAAAAGCTTTTAGATCATTGCATTTCCTTCTTCCCAGCACTGCAGTAAATAGTCTCTAGTGTTCCAGCTCTACCTTTAGATATTTGGATACAGGGGGCCACAGTGACAGTTTGAGGAGGTCAGGCTGCAGAGAGCCGATGCTCCAGGGAGGTGGGAAGAGCTTTGTCTCTACCTGGTGCCCAGGACTGGGGTACTGGGCAGAAACATGCAGACCAGTGAATGTGCTGTCACTCTTTTTTCCCCTCTCAGTGTTCAATGCCTCTAGAAAGTGATGTTTCATTTATGAACTGGCAGATGGAGGAGCCTGAAGGCAGAGCAGAACCATCTAAATAAAAGTTATTTGGAAGCAATGAGCAGGGGGTGTGTGGTGTACCAGGCGGGATCTTCAGGTCTAAGCCACATCTAACTGGGTAAAATGGTGCTGTGGCTCCGTCTGGGTCTCGGTGCTGCCTGGGTGATTGGTGTTCCAGCAGAATCCCAAGGATCAGTGTGTATTGGAGTCTCATCCCTGAGCCCTCCGGTCTCAACCGCTGTGCAGAAGCTCCAAAATCTGCTGCTCTGGGGCACGTCCTGCTGCTGCATTGCTGGAGGTGACGCCTGTCCTGCTGCCTTCCCTGCCGCCTCCGTCCAGATGAGTTTGTTCTCTGAGCTGCCCCCTGAGCCCAGCCAGGTTGGACATTAATAACTCTGTGCTGTGCCAGGCCGGGCTGACGTGGGCTTGGCGCGGTGCAGGTGGTGGCTGGCGTGCTGAGCGTGCGGCTGCCGGGCAGGGCTGGACCCGGTGCTGCTCCTGCCTGTGCCTGCTCCGTGCAGAGCCCTCGCTGGGTTGATTTTTCCCGGTGTCTGAGTGCCCCAGAGTGGTTCTGTATCTTTATTGCTCATGAGCAGCTGTTGCAGTCACTGCTAATGGACTGTAATACACAGAGCTGACCCCAAAATGATGTCTTCACAAAAATTGCCTGTCTGTGGAGCTGCTGTAAAAGCTCAGAAGCACCAGGCTGGGTGAGTTACCGTCATCTGCACAGTGTGTGCGTGAGGCGTCTCTGGGTGCTTCCCCTTCTCCAAGTCTTTGTTCTTATCTTTCCAAGTCAGATATCCTGCAGGACACAGGGGCCGAGGGCAACCCAGGAGGGATCACTTCCCTTTGCCTGCTCAGGACCCTCTCCCCTCCGCGCGTGTCCCCGCAGTGCGACAGGCACAGCTCTGAGCAGAGCTCGGGTGTGATGAGCTGGAGGGGCCGGAGCGGGGCACC